ATTTAATATTAAAAATTTAAATTAACTTTTTAGATATATTTTGGACAGTGCAAATATATTATGAACGGAGCAATAAACTTATTAAAAAAATTTAATATTAAATTTAGATCATACATATTAAATCTAAACTATTGGATTGATAATTATATTTATTAAAAAATTATATTTTTCATATTTTTATTTTAAAAATATAAATTTAAAATAACAAATAAAAATATTTAATATGGACAGTTTAGATTTTCCTTTGCCTCAGTGGAGAGGCAGAGGAGGCTTCCCTCAGTGGAGGAAAGCCAACTCTTGGGATTGTTGTAGAAAACTAGCTTTTCGTCCATTCAAATAAAATTTTATTACGTCACAAATCAAACAACCTCAGCATTACAATTTAAAAAAAGGAAATATATAGCAAAATAATAAACCCAACAAAAATAAGATTCCATCACAAAACAAAGTTTATCCTAAAATGTCAATCATGTTGCTTGATTAAGAAGACTTCAAGTTTCACAAAATCTCCCAAGGGAATATAGCACGGGAAACAGTTACAGTTTTCAAAGGTTCTATTTCCATGTCATGGAAAACATATATATGAATAATTGATTATTACAAGATTGTAAGTTAAACCTCTACCCGTTATGTTTACTTATATAGTTTATTTATCACGATTCGCACAAGATCACAAAGGATCAATATGTTATATGCTCAATAACTAATTAATACAAATACATAAAATGTTTGTAAATATAAGCATGTCGCCTTCAAGGGTATAGATAGCAAAACAAACTCTTGGGTCAGTGCTCAACAAGAGTTTATTCAAGTTGATGTTGATGTTTCAGTAAATTTCAACAATCAAGTTGCTTATGGTGGGGTAATTAAAAATCACGATAGGAGAGTGGGTGATGGGATTCAAGCATAAGTTTAGTTATAATGCTGAGATTTTAGCAATTAAATTAGGCTTCAAAGTTATGCAGTCAACAAGGTTTTAAAAAGACACAACTCTTTTTTGATTTTATTGATACAATAAATCTCTTGTTTTGAGATACATTTAGGAATTGAATATGTTTCCCATACACACTTGCAAGTGTTATAGAGCCCTTGCAAGTTTCCCAAAAAACAACTTATTATAAGAAATTGTAGCATAATCAAGCACAATATCATAATTTTCATATTTTCAAAAAATACAAAAAGTTCCCATTGGGTTCCTTCCTAACCAAAGAAATGAGGAATGATTTGACCTTAGGCTTCTTTAACAACCAAAATGGTAAGATTTTCTTAGTAGTTAGGCATTTGAGATGGGTAGAATTAGAAGTTGGTGAGGAAAGGATTGGACTATCTTGAGTCTAATTTCCATCATTCATTCTGTCTAGAGGAGGATACTTGTCTTGTGTTAGAAGAGGATGGAATAGAGTTGTTGGAGGTGGGTTTCAAGCTCTTATTAGTAGAGATGGAGGGAGTGCAAGGGGCAATGAAGATGAAGGAGAAGTCATCAAAACAGAGGAAATAGGAAGTATGAGTGAGGTTGCCAGTAGAAAGGTCAGATTTGGCAACAAGCAACATGCTAAGAAGTGTTTTACCGGTGAACAAGAAGATAGGGATACCGAGAAGAGAGAGTGAGAGTAAAAAAACAGTCTATTAGTTACAAATTAATAGTTGGCGTTGGGTGCTACGATTTAATTAATTGTTTTGTTTTACACCACCTTATAGTATATGCTACTTATTGATTCTCAGAGAATATTATGTGACAAAATTTGTGCCTTCACCCTAATTTTTGCATGCACCTATATGATTTTCTCGTTAAATTATCATTTAATTATCATGATTTTTTAAAAAATATCTATATATACTTAATCACTTATCATGCTTTAATGTTAACAAGAATACAAACTAAAATCACTGTATTGAAGAATCACCAAATACAATCCAAATGCGCAAAATGAGAAAACTGAGAGAAATTTTTTTAAAAATAATAAATAAATTTTCTATTTCTTGAAATTTCTTCTCCAACTTTTCTCTCCCTATCTGCTTCCCAACTTTCTCCATCCAAGTCAAGCCTTCTTTTTAGATGCGGACCTTAAGACAAGACGTGCTTAACTGTTGGTTTGGGCCTCTTATCAAGCCTGTAGAATGGGCCAGATCCATATTTGCATCATTTTTAAAATAATCCTTTGATAATGTCGTTTCTTTTTTTGTTTGCTTGAACCATAGTCTCGTTTTTGTTGATTATTAATACTATGACTTTACAACTCATCTCAGCAAAGAAGCATCATAATTAAAGGGAAAAAGAAATCGTCAATAATGACGAGCAAATAAATATGTTATAGGAAAGAGACCCTTTGGCCAAGAAAATTGCAAACATATGTTGTGATGGGAAAAAAAAAAACATAAATGCTTGGAATACACGAGTTTAGATGTCAATTAAAGCGAAAATTATTGAGGATGAATTTGAAAAGCACTTTGGAGAAGGCTAACAATAGCCTAGAGATGCATGATAAGTTATTTATTTATTTTGGGTAAAAATATGATAAGTTATTTAAATTGAAAGCAGGTCCCACACAGAGGAAAAGAAAGGAAGGGATAAGTGCTTGTCTTTTTTTCCAATTGGTCAAAACCTTTGAAGTGCTTATCTAAAATGCACATGGATGATTGTGGTATTGATAAAATAATAATAGCGTAGCCTAAGTCATAAGTACCAGAATGTCCATAACACTTTCGAGGGGAATGCGAGAGCAAAAACTAATGGTCCTAAAGTCACATAATTTGCGAGCCCAACACAAAAGAGAGAGATTTAAACTGTCATTTTCATGGAAAAAGTTGCAAATGTTAGCCATTGAATCTGATTAATGCGGCTCTCAATGCTCTCTGGCCTCTTGCTATGCTTTGCCAATTTAGGGGTACCATCCATCACTTGCCCATTAAAAGCACTGGGTGTCCTGCTCTCATGGAGTGGACCCTATGATTTTGTCCACAAACTTCTTTTTTGTTTTGGTATTTTTATTTCATAAATAAGCGAATATTTTATTTTCAGAAGACCACAGGTTTTGTTTGAGTGAGTAAATGGAAAGATTCTCTCTGGAAAAAAGAAAAAGAAAAATAAAGAGTAAATAGAAATTTTTAACGATGGTGGGGAGAGTTGTCAAAGTGACAAGGCGCTGGTTGCAACAATTATTAATTCATCCTTATATTTAATTGATAGTGTGACTGAGCACTTGAATGTGTGAATTGACAAACTTGAATAATGTTGGATTAATGGTAATATCAGGTTAATTGTCAATTTTATTCTAGATGAAGGAGCATATTGAACTATCAAACTTATGTTCTAACAGAAGCAGCTAGATTCCTTGTAAGCAAATATTACATTTAAGTAAAATGATATGGGTTTAAGTTAGTGTTAATTTATAAAACTTTTGAAATGAACATTCTTATTGAAAGATCAATCCGACTTAATCAAGATTAGTTAAAGTATGATATAACTTTAGATGGTGATTATTAGAGTGTAAAAAGAAGTCTCACATCTATAAAATTAAAAAATAATCATGATATATAAAGTTTAAGAAGTATTGAATTAAATGGCTTAAGTTATTTTAATAAAATATATTATCCTTAAACATATTTAATATAATAAATATAACATGGTATCATGAGCCATTCGATTTGGGGACAAAAAAAGGAAAAGAATAAAAGATGAAAACAAAAATACAACAAGTTAAAAAAAAAAAAAAAGAAAAGAAAAGAAAGAAGAAGAGAAGAAGAAGAAGAAGAAAGGAGAAGAAATTAAAAAAAAAAAAACCTGAAACCTCTAAGACTAAAAAAGGACAAGCTCAGGTGAAAAGAAAAAAAATAAAAAAAAACAAAAGGAAAAAAAATTAATAGAAAAAATATTAGAGTGTAAAAAGGAGTCCCATATGGCCATATCTAAAAGATTAAAAAATAAATTATGATATATAAAGCTTAATAAGTATCGAATCAAATGGTTTAAATTATTTTGTTAGAATATATTATCCTTAAGTTTACTTAATATAATAAACCTAACAATGGCTTATTTGCTTTTTTTTTTAAAAAAAAATGGTATATTGAAATTTATGCCCAATATAATATCAATTAATAGAGAATATTTGAACAAATTTTGTTGGTTTTGGCTAAATGAAGTGCAGTTCACGCGAAAACGTTGGGGCAAGTATCGCATACAGGACAAATAATGCATGTGTTCTCATTGATCCAAATACCAGATAATCCAAGCTGAGTGAGAGTGAGACTCGTTTAATCAGACGATCGAATATTCATTTGAAAGTGGTTTGGTAATATAATATTCTGTCTTGGTTTTTATATCCCATAGAAGGGTTATTGTTTTGCAGCCTAATCCAAACAAACAACATTATTGGTCCTGAATTATAACAGCCCTACCATTTCACCCTCCCTCCCTTCCTCTCTCATCTCTCTCTCTCACGCGCGCGCGCGCGCACGTTCTTTCTCTCCACTTTTGCATCAACCTTTGTTCTGACCTCTTCCCATCTCATCTTTCATGTGCCGAATAATCTATTTTTCCAATTACCATTGTTGATTTTTGATGGATGTTTTACATGGTTAAAAAAAGATGAAATTTTGGGTAAAAATAACAAGAAGAATTTGTTCTGAAATTTGGATCATTCTGTCAAAGTCACTGCAGCAATTCATGTGATTCTCAATGAATGAAAGCCAAACAACCAAGGTTCCATTTGTTCACCAAAAAGTTTCACCTTTGATTAATTTTTTCTTTAATTGAGTATATGTGTGATTCTATTAGAAGCACGGTCCAATATCAAAAGTGGGCACCTGAAAATTTAAATTTTGATTCACTATATTGTGAAGAAATAGTCTCCTTCGCTATACTTAATGTCCATTGATCCTTTGTTCAATATTTTATTCTCAATAATCATAAAAATTGATGAGAAATTCAATTTCTTGGGTGATTTTGGGAGATCATGTTATCTCAACTTCTGGGCTTCTGTGTTACCATGATTCATGGATCCTAAACATGGAATACTGAATCTGCTTAAACAAACAGAAATTAGAATACAAAATTATTCAAAAAGGGGAGAGATCTTGATCAGAATCTAGAAGGTCCAGATTTTTGCTCTAAGGCTCACTCGCCTCTGAGTCAGACTCTCCTCACTCGAGTCAACCCAACCGAATCATCGTCCCGGAAACAAAAATCCCCAAAAAAACTAAAGCTATATAATATATTTTCCCAACTAAACCGTCCTTTAGACTGAGAACGACTGTAATTATCAAATATAATACCGGTCTGAACCGGCATACTCACCCATCGAACCCGGTCTGACTCCACACCGCGTCGCGAACCCTTCTCAAGTCCCGACCCTTTAGCGTCCGGCCCACGCCCTCGAAAACGGAGTTCGCTGCCATTTTCCGACTCCGCGCGTACTCACGCGCCAAGTACTCATGTGGAGGGACCATCTCCGATTCGTCCTCGAAACCGCCATCCATGCCGTGAAGTGATTCGGTCGAGTCAGACCGGAGTATCTTGCTCCAGTCCGGCACGTTCACGGGAGCCGACGTGGCCATATGGTGTCCACGTGGTGGCGCCACGCTGTCGTGCCCGTGGTGGCACTGGTGGAGAATCCTGGTGGACGTCGTCGTACCGTTGTTTCCCGAATCATCGAATGCCAGGGACAGTCCCCCCACGCAGCGGTGATCGTTAAGGGAGATCCGACGGCCGCCTCTGATCGATATCCCACCGCCGTTTATCTCCGCAGCCGAACGTGGAGGCCTCTCTCCAAAAGAGGCATTCATTGCGCGGTCGTCTATTTCGTCGACGGTGGACCAGACATCGTCTTCAACGAACTCCGATGCGTCAGTAGCGGCGACGGAGGGTTGGCTGTGGAGGCTGTAGCTGTAGCTTCCCAAGAGGCGTTCGCTCCGGTGACTTGAGGTCAACTTACGACCCTTGGCCATGTAGGAACGACGGCGGAGTTGGGTTTCGGGGTGACCCACCCACTCCGCACAAAGCCAGAAAGGAAGGAAAAGCCGTTGACGATGTTAAGAATCCATAAGCTATGGAGGATTGGACATAAGCAAGACGAAGGAAGGTGAACGTGTATATATAGCGTTTTCGTTAGCGTGACCCACCATTTCGAATTTCATTTCAATTTGAGGTTCATTTTGTCTGCATTTCCTCCAATTTATACCGTTAAAATGGAAGCAGACTCTCTCTGGTTTTTATTAGCCAACCAACGGCGAGTTTGGGATTGTCAGAGCTTGCTCGATTTCTATTTTTAAAAATTACTTTTTATTTTTCAAAACATAAAAATTTAAAAAATTATTTAAACAAGTATTTTTTTATTTAATTATTTTTAAAACTGATTTCATTTTTTAAAAAAATAAAATAAATATTTTTAAAATATATTACATTTGATTATTAAAAATTATAGGTATTTTGACTAATTTTTATTTTTAATCATCATCATTAACTATTTATAATTATTATCATTAGTCTATTTTTTAATTTTAAAATTATTTTTTAATAGACATGACCAAACAAATTCTCATTTCATTTTGTTTTAAAAAATAATTTTAAAAATGATATAATGAAACAGATTTTAAAAATAATAAATGAGAATAAAAAATCAAACAAGTCCTTATTCATTGTTCTTTTTTTCTTTTTTAAGTGAATTTATTTATAATCCAAAATAATTTTAATTAAACAATTCATTTATCGTATTTATTTAATAACCAGGCTATGGTTTCGTTAACAAATATGATTATATTTAATTTTAATTGTATGGTAAATTTTATATTTATTGACAATTGCAAATTTTTAGGTGACCTTTTAAATTTAATATTTATTTTAGTTAAAGACTATTGTCGCTTGAATGGCTTTTTTTTTTACCATTAATTGTTTGGTAGACATACAACATTAATTATAAGACATGATGATATAACTTATCAACATTTGGAAAAACTTAAAAATATATCATGTATTATTAGATATTAAATAATTATTAATGATAATGATGAATTATGAATTTTAAAATACACCATTGAGTTTGACAAAAAAATAATAAATTTAAATATTCAAATAAAGTAATTTCTGCATAATAAAATTTAGGGTGAATGATAGAAAGACTCTAAGGAGATCAATTAATTTAAATTAGATCTTAAGTATCAAACTCTAAAAATTTATAAATTTAGCTCTCAAATTTATAACTTGTGTTTTAAATTTTAACAGAAAAAAATTTATTCTTCAATCATGTTAAAATTTAAAAAATAAATTATAAATTTATTATAATGAAGTTGCAAATTTAATATACGAACTTGAAAATTCTTGAAGTTTTGCACTTGAGACCCGATTTAAATTAATTGATCCTTTTGAGACTTATCTATCATTCTCCTTAAAATTTATATCTATCTTTTTTTGAATATCACAAGTATTATTCATCAAGAGTAAAATCTAATAATCTGGCTGAGTTTTTACGAATTTTGAGTATTTTGGGTGTTACTAATTTCCTATTATATTAAAAAAAAAGAAGACTAATCTTGAGAGTGAGAGTTGAAGCCCAGTAAGTATTTTTTGACTGAAATATTTTTTATCTAGTTTCCTTAGTAATTTTTTTAATGGGAGGATTTTTTTTAGAGGGGAAATATACCATTAAAGGATGAAAAACCCTCCTCTTTAAAATAGGTCTACATGCCAACAAAACTCTACCCCATAACTTATAAAATTATGGGATCAAATTTCACTATCAATGTAAATACATTATTGCTAGAGTTGTAAATGAGGGTTAAATTTGAAGGGACACCCTAACAACTCTATTTAAAGAAGGGCATGGGCTTCAAATGCAGGAAATTTTTAAGGTAATCAAGCTTTAGGCTCGACCATAATAAGCCTTAAAAAAAAAGAGTTCGAGCAGACCTCCAAACATTGTTCTATTTTTTTTCCTTTTATCTTAAAACGCACCATTTGACAAATAAAAAAAAAACCTATACACCTTATCATTTCAAGTTCTTTAGCCCTCTTTGTCTTTCGACTTAACCTCCTCCTTACCATCTCCTTTTCCCTGCTGTCTCACCTCTCCCTTTTGGCTCTCTTCATCTCTTGACTCACCTCTCTCTCTCATCTCTTGACGTAGTGTCTCTTGATTGAATGTCTCCCTCTTGACATTCCATTGCTTTAGTTTTTTTAACTCTCGTATTCTCAAGTAATTTCTGTTCCAGCATAGACTTTTTTTAGATTATGGATGTTTGAAATTTCAATTTAATGCTCGCTTTTAATATTTCAATTTGATTTGAAAATTTTAACCCCTCGTCTTATTCTGTGAGGATTATATTGATATACCTCATTTATTATTTTTGAAATTTTGTTGTGAATTATGATGATATCAATTAACATATATTTAAGCTTTTAAATCTTTTATTTATTTTCTAGATGATGTGAGACATTGACTTAGTTTGTATTGAATTTTAAAGCTAAATTATAATATTAAATATTATAATTTTAAATTAAATTATTTTTTAGAAAAACAAAATTAAATTATAATGTTAATTCTTTTATTTTTTTAAAAAATCGAGTTTTCAAACCCAGCCTAAGCCCTTTCAATAGGTGCTAAACCTCAAGATTCAATCAAAATTTAAAAAATCAAGCTTCAAGGTCTAAGTTATTTAGAACCAGGCCCGCCCATATTTCAATGTCTAATTATTGATGGAAGATTTATAAATATTTTTATAAATATTTTTTAAATCTTAAAGTATGCCTTTGATATGATAAGTGTCTGAAACTCAACTCACTTTAATTTTTTAATAAAAAGAATAGGTGGACGTGTGATTAGCCAATAAGTCATTGGCACGTGGCTTTCTCTCTATTATTTGTAGGATGCAACATCATTGAGGATATATTCTTAAAATTGGATGACAGGATTGGACTGAATTCGGTTTCAGTGCTCATCATCATGCTGCCCAACACCAATTTTGCAATGTTAATTTTTTTCATTTCTTTTTTAAATCACAAGATTATTATAATAATAAATAAATATTATAAAATTATTATTTTATTATTTAATAAATAAATATATTTAACTTGTTAAATTTTGACGTAAACAATTCATATATAAATTTTGGTTTGAATAGTTAAGAATAGTAGTAAAAAAATTAGAACCATGACTAAATATATTTTATAAAATATTTTTTATTTTATTGATTTTTCACAATTGTCCATTTATGAGAAGTAATATTATGTAAGGTATGATTGGATATTAAATATAAGTACTTTTTTTAATGAAAATTTAAACATTGTTGTGCTACATAGTAAGAAACTAGCTCATTCTGCTAAACTCAACGATCAGTCCTTATTTTGAACTTTTCAAGTCATTTTTTTATAATTTTTTTAGTATAGTTTTAAACTGTTTAGATCAAAATTTTTGTCTAGCCTGTTCAAGTCAAATTTTAATAAATTAAATTTATTTATTTATTAAATATTAAAATAATAATTTTATAATTTTTATTTATTATAATAATAATACTTTTATAATTTAAAAAGAAAAGAAAAAAAAATAACACCGCAAAATGCAGTGTTAATTGGTGCTGAGCACCACGGTCCTCATATGATGTGCACCGAAACCGAATCCGATTGGGTCCGCCAATGTTGAAGCACGTGGAAGCAATCGCCGATTGATTAGTACAGCGCAACCACTAGTTGGGAGTGATCAATGGACATGGATGCAAGTTTCTAAATCGAACGGAAAGACATTCATCCTACTATCTGGCATTAATGGCTTTTCACTGCTTTTGGCTCTCAGCAAATATTCCGGTTCCCTCATTTCGCTTTGGTCACACTTGTGTTTTTTACATTCTTCCTTAAACAATATTAAAGCAATAAAGTGATTATCTCAATGCTTGCTTATCTTGAGAAGTTGAAATTGATAAGTATAACTAAAGTTGCCTCAATGATCCAAAACAAATATAAGCGCATAAAACTTTCAAAGTTTGTAATAAATTACGTAATTTGCAAATACTTTATTCGATCGTAAATATAAAACCCAGTCAATTAATTTAATTCATAGGTATTAGAGAAATTGAATAAGTTATTTCTTTTTAATGATCCTGTAAAAATATTTGTTATTTTTCTAAAACACCCGATCCAATGAAACTATTGAATGCGAGAGGCACATGGGATAAGAAAAGTAGACATTTTTTAAATAGAATTGAAAGAACAAAGAATGCATTTTAAACGTTGGATTTTAATTTTCATAGATATTGTGAACTGACTCGTGCACGGCAATTGATGTTTCGAGAAATATATGAATAAGAAATTATCATCCAAAGGATTCACTGCTTGTTCGTTGTAAATAACTATTATTGTATTATTTTCTGTGCGAATGTTACAAACTTTTGGCGTGTTCAAAATATTCAATCAAGTCATTGTCTTGAACGAATCAGGGAAGAGGAGCGGTAGACAAATATTGCCACATCCAATTCTTTTACAACTTATTATAGGAATAATATTAATTAATAATTTCAATTTTGCGTTGTTATATCTTCAAATTGGATGCATGCACTGTCAGAATATAATTTAAATGTTCCCTGGTCCATCGCCAAGTAATAATAATAATAATAATAATAATAATAATAATAATAATAATAATTTTGCAATCAGGCCAAAAAGCAGAAGATATATATATATATATATATATTAAAAGAAGAAGGAGAAGAAAATAAGTATGATTTAAAAGAGTCAGTGTTGATAAACTGGGCAACATTCCTTAATGTTATACTTATGCTCTCTCCATTAAAAAATATAAAATATTTTTAATCTTTCGAAGTGTAACTATTACCTTATTTTTAAAAGTTTTATTAATAATAATTTTATTTATTATAGAGTGTTTAATAGGGGTAAATATAAAAATATAGGGTTAGTTTAAAAATAATTAACTATTTTATTAAAATAAAATTTAATTAAAAATATTTTGTATTTTTAAATGGATAAAATATTATTTAAGCATGTCTTCATCAAAAGTACTGTTTTTTTTTATTATATATATATATATATATATACTAGGGATAAAAGTATATCAAATCAGAT